TTATTCCTCCACACGGCTCATTCTCGTGGACACGATATCTCAGGAACACCTGGACGGAACTTCTTCAAATTTGGCACAAACATTCACCTGGACTCAAGGATGATCTGATTAGATTTTAGTGTTCAAAGGTTAAAGGTCACAGTTGGAAAATAAGTAAACTAAATAAAAATGAAACGCTGGAAACAGCTCAGATTTTATTCAGTTTTTTCTTCTCTGCTCCTCAGGTCGAAGTCGGACCGAGCGTCGGACTCTGGAGACTCGGACAACAACAACTACACAGGTGAGGAGGGCGGCGAGGAGGCGGAGGACGAGGATGACGAGTACGATGAAGAGTATGTCCCCGAGTGGCACGAGGACTACGATGAGGACGACATCGACGAGGACGACTTCTTCTCCGACGACGACGAGTCCGAGAACCTGGAGAGGGACTTCAGCCCCTTCGACTGAGCCGGACGGAAGAACACAAACCTCCCCGAGTCGAAGGAAGAGAGAGAGGACAAGTCGGGCCCCGCCAAGGCCCCGCCCCCTCCTCACCACCATCCGACGCCACCCGAGAACGTCAGGAACGACGGGAGACGATCAGAGGGACGTCCTCCTTCACCTGAACCCCACCCCCCACCCCCCCACCCCCCCACCCCCACCCCAAACACAGCTGCACTCGCTTTTCCACTTACTGTATTTTACCTTCTGTATTTTCATGAAGTGAGAGTACGGAAGAGGACGAGGGTCAAAAGACAGAAGCGTCAGTTCTGAGTTTGATTTTTAAATTGTGAGAAAAAATGAGACAAAAGTCTTTGTTTAAATTATGAGAATAAACAAGTTAATTTTGATCTGAAAGTCATGAAACGACTTAATAGTTTTCTTTGCTCACTGTCTGATCCCAGTCTGAAACCAGTTCAAACCCAGTTTAAACCCAGTTTAAACCCAGTTTAAACCAGTCACAACACAGCTCAGAGCCAGTCTGAAACAATCAAAAAACAAACATGGTTAAAATTGTTCTGAAACCAGTTTGAACTCGCTCCAATACCAGTTAAGACCCAGTCTGAAACTTATCTAAAGCAAGGTCTAAAACCTGTGTCAGACCAGTTTGAAACAAGTCTGAACCATGAGTAAAACCAGTTTAAAACCAAGTCTGTAACTGGTTCATGCACAGTTTGAAACCAGTTTAAACTCAATCAGAACTCTACCTTGATAATATAAACCAGTCTGAAACAAGGTCAAACCAGTTAAACCCAATCTGAAACCAGTTTTAAACCAGTATGAAGAAACCAGTCAATTAAAACCAAACTGGACTTTAATCTCAGAAATGTTCCTTTGCTAAAATTCAGACTTAAATTTTAAATTGAGATTTTCTGTCTCTGGCCCTGATTAAATGATCCTGACTTTAATCTCACTGATTGATCTCAGAACTTTTTTGTTGCTTCGGTTCTGGCCTGGCGTCTCTTCCGTACTGACCCGCCTCGGTTCTGTCCTGGCTCTGGATCTCGGTGGTTTTGGTGTCGGTGGACGGATCCCTCCCAGAGGAGGTCTGTTAGTCTGAGATGTGTCACAGAACAAAATGTTTGTGTTTGTTTCCTGCTGCTGCTTTTTGGAGTTTTTCCTGAGACGAGTAAAAAAATAAAAATAAAAACCAGAAAAAAGGGATTAGTGATCCGGATCAGAGACTGTGAGTCCAGCTCTCATCATCTTTTTGTACCTGATGTAAACTCAGTTAGCACTTAGAGACCTTTCTTTCATCACACGTTCTGCCTTGATTTCTTTTTATGGAGGTTGCCTTGATTTGAGAGTAAAGAGAAATAGAGACGATTAAAATGCAACTCTCTGTTTCAGATTTAGATTTACTGACAGTTACAGAAGAGAGTTTTTTTTACATGTTTGAGGAGTTGGATGTTTCTATGCATCTGAAGAAACAGGTTGAATCCTGAGCAGAGTGTCTGGGAGCTGCACATTCTGACATCAGCCTCTGAAGTATCACTGCAATAACTGATCGATCAATTATCGGCTCACTGTTGCGTCATTTGCTAAGCAAAGACTCTGTCACCTGCTCTGTTTTCTGTCTTTAAAAAGGACGTTGCTAAGAAGAGTTTTTGGGTTTGTTGTCGAGAACTCGGCGCTCTGCAGGAGTGGAGGGATATCTGATATCCCAGCTTCCTGTTTTGCTGTAATTTTGATTGAGAGATCCTATATTCATATTGTTGATGTTCTTTCTGGTTTCTTTGTTGGAGTCGAGCGACTTCAGCCAGCAAACTAAATAAAAGCTTTTTCTGCTACACTGCAGGCCGACTCTCATTTCATGGAAAAACCCTGAAATGTTCCTGAATTCTCCTTTAAACTATAAACGCAGGTGGATTCTTAGTTTATTCTGCCACAGTTTCAGACAGTAGAGGTCAGCGTGAAGGTTAATCGATGGAGGTTTCATTATTTTAATGATTTTAATGCATTTGTTTTTCATGTTTACAGGCCGTTAATAAGAATTAACGAGAAAAGACTCATTAAACGATCCCTAAATCATTACCTTCAACTGAAGTAATCAATTATATTTCTGAATTAAATTAAAGGAACTCATCATTTTGCTTTAAAATGGTAAAATATGACTGGTAGACCCAATTACAGTGTTGGTAGTTGGTATAAATGATATTATTCTCTGTTATTCATTTACTTTATTAATTTTGAGAGATTTGACAAAAAAAGGTGAAAAGCTCCGGAAAAGTTAGTAAGTGAACTTTGAGTTAAGATATTTTTATATCTATAAAGAGATTTAATTAAATCTAATCTAAATCTAATTTTTATAATATTACACACTATAAAACTGAACCCCAATGTTTTGCCTTGCAGTTCAATCAATATGGCAGTTAATATTGATGGAATTAAGGTATTTTAAGGAGGTAATTAATGAATAAATCAATTGATTTTAATTCATGAAGGTATTTCTAATGGATTATCTGCAGGGTTTAAATACTTTAAAGGTGTAAAACAAAATGACCAAATAACATGGATCATGTTTTTCATGTAAAATTTTTCATGTTAAAATCTTAATTTGTATAATAAAAAACAACTAAATTTTAAGTAAGTGTAATCTGTCCCTCCAAGATGTTTGCGTACAGGTATATTCAGTCTGAGGAACATGGTGTAGTTCCGTCCTTCCGTCTGTTGGGGCCGCTAAAGAGTCTAGACTTTGTTTGTTCGCCGCCATTACATTGAACGAAGAAGAAGAACAACAACAGCAACACGTCGGTCTGTTCGTTCAGAATTTGGCTTTAAATTCTTTATTTTCTGCAGAAAATGTGTAAATTAGTTTCTGTTCACCGACTGTTTGTGAAGTTAAGACACTAAAAGAAACGGAACTGTCGCATGAATCGATGAGTTTCACTCTGAACGCGAGTTTTTGTTTCCGTTGATTAGCAACTAACTCGTTAGCTACTTTAGCCTTTAGCAGTTCCTCGCCGTCTCGGAGTCGCTGCAGCCCGGTGAGGGAATGGGACGAGGAAAGGGACCGACACGGGGCCGACCCCCCATGGGTGCGCCAGGTGACGACGGACCCCCGTTCGACATCGGTCCGCCCGGCTGGGGCCCTCCTCCGCCTGGAGGCTGGGGTCCCCCGCCGCCTGATGGGTGGCCTCCGCCGCCCGATGAATGGGGGCCTCCGCCGCCGGGAGGATGGGGTCCTCCCCCGCCTGGAGGATGGGGTCCTCCCCCGCCTGGAGGATGGGGTCCTCCGCCGCCTGGAGGATGGGGTCCTCCGCCGCCTGAATGGGACCCGAGAGGGCCTCCGCCTCCTGGCTGGGGACCGAGAGGACCGCCGCCGCCGGGCTGGGGACCTCATCCCGACGACTGGCTGCCTCCTCCAGAAGACTGGGGTCGTCACCCAGATGACTGGAGACCTCCACACCCCGACGACTGGAGGCTTCACCCCGATGACTGGAGACCGCCCCGCGAAGAATGGAGACGACTTCCAGAGGACTGGGGACCCGATAAGCCTCTCCCCCCTCCCGGTTGGGGACATCCAGGCTGGGGTCCCGAAGGTCCCCCTGAACCGTGGGGACCCGAGCCTGGTCCACCCGCACCTGTGCCACCTGTACCCCCGCCGGGCATCCCCCCTCCTGTGGCGATTCCTCCTCCGGACCCCGCAGCCTACGGAGCGGTGCCTCCTGTCCCCCCTCCGAGCTGCGTCCCTCCGTTCGGGTTCCCGGCCTACCCTCCCCCCGGCTGGTCAGGAGAGGTGAGCCTACACCGCCTTATCCACGTTTTCCTGTTTTTTCACTGTGTGACTGGAAATGGATTGATCAGATTCAGGCGGGATCGATCAGGAGCTCCTGTCCATGACGTTCAGATGAGTTTATCCGGTAATAACTGACACTTTCTCTGTTCTCAGCCTGTTGTGGAGGAGCCGATGCCAAACCCGCCTCCGGACCAGCCTGAGTGGGTGAGTACAGGCCAGGTGCAGGTGTCTGACAGGATCCATCAGTAGATACACAACAGACAAACCCGCGGTTCAGGTCTCCTCAGAGTTTTAAGTGTTTCCAAACATTAAACTTTCTAAATTTAAAAATGCATTTTTTTCTCTCGGCTCCAGCAACAAACCATCATTTCCAATATTGATTAAATTGCCAATTATTTTGTTAATAAATCCATAAAATGTGAGAATATGCAGGAAGTGATCTGTGTTAGACGTGAGGGTGAGGTCATGCAGGACAGAACCAGGACAGAGTCACACTGGAGGAGCTGAAATCACAGTTTATGATCAAGTGGATCTATGTGTCGTGTGAGATGTGGATTTAAAACTTTTACAGATACTTTCATTAATTAGTTAATTAATATGATTATTATCTCTCAGATCAAAGCGTTGATCTCAGCTCCGGCTTCTGAGGCGACTCCAGGAGAAACTAAGAAATCCACAGATGAGTCTCCCGTCACCAAAACACCTGCTGCTGACCCCCCCGCCGCCGCCACCGCCCCGAAACCTAAATCCAAACCCAAACCCGATCCCAACAAGACCGCCAAGGCCCTCGGCCTGCTGGGAAAACGCACGTTTGATAAGTGAGTGTTTGTTGTGTGTGTGTGTGTGTGTGTGTGTGTGTGTGTTCTGGTTTATGACCGACACCCCTCTCATACAGTCATACAGGTGTGTCACATCATTCATGATAACACAGGTTTAAAGGTTGATGTGAACATACTGGTCATGTCCTGCTGTGTGTGTGTGTGTGTGTGTGTGTGTGTGTGTGTGTGTGTGTGTGTGTGTGTGTGTGTGTGTGTCCTCAGGCCTCCTCCAGGCAGGTCCACAGGGATCATCTCCTTCATCGGGGTAAGAAAGACTCTGACACCTGTGACCTGGTCTGTCCCAGGTTACAGGTGATTTTGACCACTCCCCTCAGTCTGGATTTTTGTCCTCTAGAATAAAAACCTGTAACCTGGACTTTTATTTTGATAGAAACAGTGAGATCTGTCTCAGGTTTTACAGGAAGTTGTTTTTATGAGCTGATGTTTCTGCTGCTCATTAAAAAGCCTTAAATTTACTCATTATTATTATAACATTATATTATATTTATTATTTATTTATTTATTTATATTATTATAACATCAGCTTATTCTTCTTTCTAAAAAAGTTCTGGACTGACCCTTCCTCTGTGATCAGTCCAGGTTCGGGTTCTGGTTCTGGTTCTGTCAGTGATCAGTTTTCCTCTGTCTCTGGTCCTCAGCCGACGTTCGGCTACATCGAGAGAGAAGACCTGGAGAAGTTCAAGAGAAGATGATGTTGCGTACAGGTATATTCAGTCTGAGGAACATGGTGTAGTTCCGTCCTTCCGTCTGTTGGCCCGCTAAAGAGTCTAGACTTTGTTTGTTCGCCGCCATTACATTGAACGAAGAAGAAGAACAACAACAGCAACACGTCGGTCTGTTCGTTCAGAATTTGGCTTTAAATTCTTTATTTTCTGCAGAAAATGTGTAAATTAGTTTCTGTTCACCGACTGTTTGTGAAGTTAAGACACTAAAAGAAACGGAACTGTCGCATGAATCGATGAGTTTCACTCTGAACGCGAGTTTTTGTTTCCGTTGATTAGCAACTAACTCGTTAGCTACTTTAGCCTTTAGCAGTTCCTCGCCGTCTCGGAGTCGCTGCAGCCCGGTGAGGGAATGGGAGAGGAAAGGGACGACACGGGGCCGACCCCCCATGGGTGCGCCAGGTGACGACGGACCCCCGTTCGACATCGGTCCGCCCGGCTGGGGCCCTCCTCCGCCTGGAGGCTGGGGTCCCCGCCGCCTGATGGGTGGCCTCCGCCGCCCGATGAATGGGGGCCTCCGCCGCCGGGAGGATGGGTCCTCCCCCGCCTGGAGGATGGGGTCCTCCCCGCCTGGAGGATGGGGTCCTCCGCCGCCTGAATGGGACCCGAGAGGGCCTCCGCCTCCTGGCTGGGGACCGAGAGGACGCCGCCGCCGGGCTGGGGACCTCATCCCGACGACTGGCTGCCTCCTCCAGAAGACTGGGGTCGTCACCCAGATGACTGGAGACCTCCACACCCCGACGACTGGAGGCTTCACCCGATGACTGGAGACCGCCCGCGAAGAATGGAGACGACTTCCAGAGGACTGGGGACCCGATAAGCCTCTCCCCCTCCCGGTTGGGGACATCCAGGCTGGGGTCCCGAAGGTCCCCCTGAACCGTGGGGACCCGAGCCTGGTCCACCCGCACCTGTGCCACCTGTACCCCCGCCGGGCATCCCCCTCCTGTGGCGATTCCTCCTCCGGACCCCGCAGCCTACGGAGCGTGCCTCCTGTCCCCCCCGAGCTGCGTCCCTCCGTTCGGGTTCCGCGCCTACCCCTCCCCGGCTGGTCAGGAGAGGTGAGCCTAACACGCCTTATCCACGTTTTCCTGTTTTTTCACTGTGTGACTGGAAATGGATTGATCAGATTCAGGCGGATCGATCAGGAGCTCCTGTCCATGACGTTCAGATGAGTTTATTCCGGTAATAACTGACACTTTCTGTGTTCTCAGCCTGTTGTGGAGGAGCCGATGCCAAACCCCGCCCGGACCAGCCTGAGTGGGTGAGTACAGGCCAGGTGCAGGTGTCTGACAGGATCCATCAGTAGATACACAACAGACAAACCCGCGGTTCAGGTCTCCTCAGAGTTTTAAGTGTTTCCAAACATTAAACTTTCTAAATTTAAAAATGCATTTTTTTCTCTCGCCTCCAGCAACAAACCATCATTTCCAATATTGATTAAATTGCCAATTATTTTGTTAATAAATCCATAAAATGTGAGAATATGCAGGAAGTGATCTGTGTTAGACGTGAGGGTGAGGTCATGCAGGACAGAACCAGGACAGAGTCACACTGGAGGAGCTGAAATCACAGTTTATGATCAAGTGGATCTATGTGTCGTGTGAGATGTGGATTTAAAACTTTTACAGATACTTTCATTAATTAGTTAATTAATATGATTATTATCTCTCAGATCAAAGCGTTGATCTCAGCTCCGGCTTCTGAGGCGACTCCAGGAGAAACTAAGAAATCCACAGATGAGTCTCCCGTCACCAAAAACACCTGCTGCTGACCCCCCGCCGCCACCACCGCTGCTGCCCGCCCCCGCCCCGAAACCTAAGTCCAAACCCAAACCCGATCCCAACAAGACCGCCAAGGCCCTCGGCCTGCTGGGAAAACGCACGTTTGATAAGTGAGTGTTTGTGTGTGTGTGTGTGTGTGTGTTGTGTGTGTGTGTTCTGGTTTATGACCGACACCCCTCTCATACAGTCATACAGGTGTGTCACATCATTCATGATAACACGGTTTAAAGGTTGATGTGAACATACTGGTCATGTCCTGCTGTGTGTGTGTGTGTGGTGTTGTGGTGTGTGTGTGTGTGTGTGTGTGTGTGTGTGTGTGTGTGTGTGTGTGTGTCCTCAGGCCTCCTCCAGGCAGGTCCACAGGGATCATCTCTTCATCGGGGTAAGAAAGACTCTGACACCTGTGACCTGGTCTGTCCCAGGTTACAGGTGATTTTGACCACTCCCCTCAGTCTGGATTTTTGTCCTCTAGAATAAAAACCTGTAACTTGGACTTTTATTTTGATAGAAAAGTGGAGATCTGTCTCAGGTTTTACAGGAAGTTGTTTTTATGAGCTGATGTTTCTGCTGCTCATTAAAAAGCCTTAAATTTACTCATTATTTATTATAACATTATATTATATTTATTATTTATTTATTTATTTATATTATTATAACATCAGCTTATTCTTCTTTCTA